GAAATGAAGTTGTATACTCATTAGAGTAGTGTAATCAGTTTTATATGACTACAAGCTGAGGTATCTGTCCTTTGTCTGGGCTATGAACTTAAAAAAATGTGGGGGTGAAATCCTAAAAATGTCTTAATAACATAACATAATTTTACAGTATTCATTTTTACCTCTCCAAAAGTTTTGTATAAGTTGTAAAAACTCATTATGTATATATTTAAAACATAGTATACACTGTGCAATGGTCAGAGTGACTTTATAGTAAGTAGTGGAAGTAGGTGTGTGTTTGTTTTCTGCTTTCAACATCCAGCTCTTAACGTCCTTCCACAGTGTTTCACAGGATTAATTAATTGACGGTCATTGGCTGCAGAGGTGTCTTACAGGGCAAAGTTGAAAGGTCACGTGTCAAAGTAGGAAATGGGTATAACTCAAGAAACAGCTCTTCACATCAGCATTACAGTGGCCATTGGAGTTGAAACTTCAACTGAGTTTATGTAGTATTACAGTAATAGCAGCCATTTGTTTTCATTGCATCCCTCCATAGAAAGTGCTAGTGCACTCTCTGAAATATATAAGACATTTCTGTGCCCTCCCCACACACTGTATATATATTGTTTTATAGAAAATTTATAAAGTTTTTTGAGTTTTTAGTGAAGGAACATGGTACCATCTATGAAATTAATTAATATTAATTTATATGGGAGATAATAAATGCTTAATAACAGCCCTAATAATGAGGGGTGGAAGGGTTGTAAACCACTGTTAACATTCTCTTTGTTCCAAACTATCATCCCCATAAAGTTTGGTTGGGATTGGCCCAGTGACCTTAGGAGTAATTAGATAACAGACAGACAGACACACAAATTTTTGTGCTTTACATATATAGATTTGTTAGAGGTTATAAAATTTTATTATTTAACTCCTCTGAACATTACTATTCACTGTTGTGAGTTATACTTGCTTCCATTATATGCGTGCCATCCCTTTACCTCCTCCTCATCCATAATTAATTCAATGAATTGTTTGTTTAATAAAGTAGATAGTATGTTGATCATTATAGAAATGAATTTTTCACTCAAAATAAGTTCCAGTAAATTGCCTTACACTATGGCTTTTACTCTGAATTTTGTTTCTTTATTAATCTATTTTATTAATACAATTTTACTTCATAATATATTAGGTGGTACAAAATTTTGTTAAATTTTTGTAAAAAAAAATATAAGAAGGCTGGCTAAAGCTGAAAATCAGTATTTTTGTTATGTATACTGCTCATAAGTCTATGCCTCCCTTTTTCATTCTTTTGTTTTGTTTTGTTGTGTTTATTGATAATGCAGAAAAAGTTTAGCATAAGAAATTTTTAAATGCTGCTCACCTTTCCACTATTAACTGGCACCACTGCTGTAAAAGTTTTTACACATGTTCCAAGCTTTCAAACAAAACTCCCATCTACACAAGTAATAAAGTGTACTGTGGATATTTATGATGCAATTAGTGTTAGACTGTAGCTCTCTACAGTAGGAAGGTGACACATCCGTCATGCACACTACTCCACTTGAGCATATTGTGTATACCAAAGTCTCGTTAATTTCCTAAGGAATACTGTGATTCAGACATGTCTGTTCATTGTAGAATTTTTGTGCTTATTAATTTAAAGATTTAGTTAACATTCAAAGTGTTTTTTTTTGTTAGATCTTTTAATGTAAATTATTGTCCATTCTTACATTAATTTGATTTCTTCTCTTAATCCTACCACAACTAGCTTGTGTATTTTTCACGACCTCATAACCACCATGTAAACATGGTGGTATACATACTGACTGAAAGTACTTAATGTATCTTCACAAAATTTGGCAAGCTTTCAATAAACATTAAAAGTCTTTTGTAGACAAAAAAAATCAGTATTTTTACAAAAACTTTGTGAGTATATGGTGTCAAAGTTTTGAACTACTTCTAACTAATTATCCCACCATACAACTTGTAAATAACTCAGTGAATGGTTAGCTCACATTACATTATTGAATTACCTGACACACAGGCTACTCATAAGCATAGTTCTTGGAAATAATTTTTTATTTTACATAATCTAACCTAATAATTTTCTAATTTTTACATTTTAGTTACTTTTTTAATAATAAATAAAGAATACACATGAAAAGAAAGAAATACAGTACTTACCTGGGTCTTTTTTTGTGGTGTTGACTGTCAATGAAACTTGAGCCTACTTATGGTATTACCACACTAAATAGTTTTTTATTTGATTAAATACTGCACCTAAGAACACATAATAATAACAAGTAAAAAGCAGACAATGTCCTATATCTATCATAATTTTTCTGGCTTTTTAACTATGTGATAAGAGCTGTTAAAAATTCAGCTAAGCTAGTCAGTGTGTTTCCTGTGTGAATAAAATTTCATTTGGAAGCAAAATGTATAATTTTCTGAACAAACAACAACGTAATATGATACATCATTTGCTAGATTAAGACTTTGGCTTTCTATTGATTATAAATAATGTACTATTAAGTATCGGAGAGAATTATTGGCACTTTGTGAAATAGAGAATGTGACAGGTGGGCATGGCAAGAGGGAGTCTGATTTTTTATTTTATGGCTCTGTAACTAAATAAGATTGAAGGCTATAAAAATTGTGCTTGCCTAAGCAATGAAAATATTATAATGAGTAATTTATGTTAAATTCTGTACTTCTTGAAGGGGTGATAAATAAATTACAGAAGAGGGAAAAGCTAGAGAGCAAATGTCACAATTTTCATACCAGGAGAAATTGTAGATTTGTTTGAATATTTCCTTATAAAATTAAGAACTTAAAACCTGTATAATATTAAAATTTGATTTATTAACTACATTTTGATGTCAAGTTTATTTGTATATAATGATGATAAAGTATTTTAATTATATTTTGATTGTAACTCTGTAGAAGGTTGTGATATGTGCACTTTGATCTACCTGATGCAAAAGGGTTAATCAAATTACGAGATTCTAGGACACATGCTCCTGAACCTATGATATGCTTTCTTTGACACAATTATTCCCCCTTGCTTTTAACCCAATTTTGGGGTTTCGATGCTTACAATTTTTTCACTGCAACAGTAACCAGGACCTACTTAAAATACTCCATGAATTCTCTTTCATGGATATTATTGCATATGGTTTCTTACGTTTGCATTTTTGAAACCTCCTGAGGTCTGAATTCCTTCATAGTTGTTGTCTTTTAATGATGACTGGAGTTAATCAGATGATGAGCAATGTTCCCACCATTGTATATCCTTTGGTTGGTTGAACTCAGACCCAGAACTCATGGTCTCTTGCTTCTGTACCTTTTGGTAAGTCTGCCTTGTCTCTGAATAACTTTGATCAGCTCTTTCAACAACTTGCCTTTGCTTCTGGTACTTTTGTCTCTGTTTAGGATCAGATGATGCCCACCCTTGTTCTTCACTACTCTGATAACTCAAGTATGTTTCTTTTTTTACTCCAGATATTTTCTGCTAGTTGTTGGGTGAGCTTCTTGCATGCACCTCAACTCGTAAGATGTTTTTTTCTCCTCTTCCCCCTTTTCCTGTTTATTATGGTTTTGCAAATTCTTTCAGTTTATGCATTATGTTGACTTTTAGTTGCAACATCCTCACTAGATTTAAGATTTTTCCTCCTGTAGTTGGACTTTTTCCTCTTTTCTAGTGCTTTTATCTCTTCTCATAACTTTGGGATTTTCACCTCTCATACTTTGACTCTCTTTTACCCTCAGTCTGCTATTTATCTTTTGCTTACTTACCTTCTTAGTTTGCTATTCCCTTTGCCCTTTCATTCTGAAGACTGCATCACTACCCTAAGAGCTTCCTTAAGGTCATACTAACCTGTTCTTCATGCTAACCCACTTTCTTTTTAACAGTTCACTTTCTCTGATTCTTTTATTCACTGTATTAGAATGCCTTGTCTTCTGGAGTTAGATTCCCTCTATTTTAACTTCATTTGACACTTTTTCTTTTATGCATATATTTTAGAAATTTTTCAACCTGTGGCCCCTACATGGTGTCTCTTCTGTAAGGCCAATCATCATTTGTTTCTGGAATTACTTATCAGCTTTCATATTATGGGAGATTGGCTCTTAAACTTTGTCTACCTATGGACTCACTTTACAGGAGACCACTGGGACCTACAAGGTTTCTTTTATGAGCTTTCTTTGTCAATCAAGGTTCACACCTGTCTTTTTTTTTTCAACTAAGTATAAGGACATTCACACACACTGTATTTGGTAGGTTTGTAATTCCACCACTATATGGACATTTGGCAGCTTCTATTCATTCATTGTGTATGAATGTGTTCTCCTACCAAATGATGCCCTACTTCACACACACACACACCTCCTTCTTTATCTACACTGGTCCATCCATCATCTTATTAATGTGGGATTCTAACTATTAAAGGAACATTTTGGAAGTTAACATTTTCCTTACCCCAAAAGTGTATTTCACATAGATACTCACCTCTCCACAGAAACCATATACCCTTCCTCCCCACTTCTGGTTTGTCTCTTCTGCCTTATCAAGAATGAGTCTTTGGTATACATAATGTGCTCAAGGAATATACTGCATATGGAATATGTGCCAACTCCCCTATTAGCAGAGGCTATAGTCTAATGCTGATTGAAATCAGACTGGCACAGCCTGTCATTATGTGTAGGTGTGGGAAATTCACTCAAAAGCTTGATGCATGCACAGAACGCTTTTCCAGAATTGGAGTGGGGTAATAATTCTCAGTTTTATGAAGAGATGATATCTGCAATAAATTTTTTAACTTTGCCCATTTTGAAGAAATATATTGTAGTGAATATTTTACTGGTATGTCAAGCTGTTTTCTTATATAAGGAATGTAATATTTTTTAAATAAATATACATCATTCTTTCAGTAATGTCACATCTTTTGTAGATTTCTGCAGATATCTGTTTTAATATTTTATGTACCAGAAAAGTTATTATGATTTGTTTGTTTTTTCAGTTGGAGCAAATATTTAGCAAAGTAGCTCGAAATACCCTCAAGAAAACTGAAGAGAAAACAAACAATTCCCAGTTGGTGAGTGGTAAACCATTAAAATGTATACAGTAAAGTGACTGTGTATTTCAAGCGTAAATGAAAATGGATGTACATTATAGATGAAGTGAGAGTAAATATCTTGTGTATAAACTCATCTCAGTTATATTATGGGATATTGTATAGTTTTGTATATTGACACTGTGGGAATTGTTTACATATTTGATGCAAATTCATTTGTACTGCAACAAGAAACTGTTTAAGGATCAAGATCTGTTTTGTTTTAAATATGATTGTGCTGTATTTTTGCAAGAAAAGTCTTCAGAATGCTGGTATCATGCCTTTCGCTATTCCTAGGCTACTTTTCATTGCTGCCACCTTTCGCAGAGTTGAAACATGAGGTATGTTTTATTTTCAATTTTAATTCTAGATCTATAAATGTATATATATTTCTTAACCAATTAGTTGTACAAGTATTACTATAGTTTTAAAAAGCATAGAGTTGTGTTAAGTCTATTAGTATTAATGACTCACCCTTTGTCTTCACACTACAGGTACTTGCAGTTTTAATGAAATCTAAAATAATTACTGCAAGTTCTTGTGCTCATATGTTCAACCTTTAATAATAAGAATTATTTAAGCCTCTTGTATTAGAACTATTTGGTAACTATTGCAATTCCTGATCACTTAGACATTTACAAACAAATTTTGAGCAGTTTTCTAACTATTGAATTTATTATCCAGTTGTAACTCAAGAGTAGGAGTTGTGTTATGATACCCGTATATTTTATATTAAGCCCTGGTGTAGGATTACATTTTTTAATCTAAACGTTAGTAGCATGCTGCTGTGGACCAATGACATACTTACTTTGTTTATTAAGAATTTCTGGATAAAAGTGAACTAAATACATAGATCAGGATGAAAATGATTTAAAGTATGCTTTATAATCAAGTTTTTCTTTATTTACAGTTAAAAGAACTGAGCAAACTCATTATGTCTATTAGAAAAAGACCAATTTCAAGTCAAAAGTTCATGCATGATTTAAAAGAAAGAAAGAAAACTAAAGATGCACATAGTACAAATGAAAACTAATAAGGGTAAGATTTTTGGTTGATATGTACTTGTAGTATAAAAGAAAATTAGCAATGGGCAGTTATCATATGATAAGGGTTACAAGTCATACTTATTTAAATACTAGGAATATACAGTTAGTGACAATAGTGCACAGATCACCAACTCAAATAATTTAACATGAGAATAAAGAAAAGAGAGTCTTATAATGATGAAATAAATGTACAACATTTGTTGGTATTGTTGTACACAATGTTTCTTTAACAACTTGGTATTGTTGTACACAATGTTTCTTTAACAACTTGGTATAGCCTTTAATTTAAGGTAGTTAATTTATGTCTTTGATTCTTATATACTTCAAAATATTAAACTTCACAAAGTGTATTAAGAAACTATGTGAAATCTGAGGCTTGTTCCATTTCTGTTCGGGATTAATTCCTAGCCGACTCTGTGGCCGACTGATTTCACTGTAATTTTAGTTTCAATTTATATTTTTTAGACATTGTTGAGTGGATGTAACTGGTTGGCTAATCACGAGTTTTCCCAATATGTAATGGAATCTTTCCCCTAAGGTTTTAGGAATTTTTTCACAAGAATTGTGTCAGTTGTTATCCATGTTCATTGCCATTAAGTATAGTTCTTGTAAATGACATTTTGTTCTCCAAGTGCTCATTAGTGTATTTGTATACTTATCTTGGGTCAAACATCTGATGCCGTTCTAGCCAATTTTCTCTACTATTCTACTAAAAGCTTTCAATCTATTCTGTTACCTATAACTAACCAAATGTTTGCATTCCATCACTCAGAGTTGTCACATGATACTGTGTACTTCCAAATACTGGTGTTAAGTGGAACATCCAGTTAGACCAAAATGACCTTTTGGTAATTTATTTTCAGGTTATTTTGTGAACATTTTTGTACATTTTTCTGGCATCATTCTGACAGAAAATTTAATTTTACGGTGATGTATATTCTTCTTTATGGTTATACATCCTCAACAATTCTTATACTAAATCTTTGTTGATATTCACTAAGCATATATTTCCTTTTTCTTTTCCTTTTTCTATATTATCTAGACTGTACATGTTATTTAATTTTCTTTTTTGCTAAGTACTATCATTTCATATAAAATTTTAGCATGTATGTAATGTGTCAAAAGTGAAAGGCCATGTCATCTTGTTTGTTGACTCGCATTCAAAATTTTATTGAACTACTATTTCATGAATTTATGTCAATAAGTTTGGTATCAAACTGTAGATTATAATTCAAATTTTAGAACTATATATTAATCAATTTCTTTATTTAAAAGTAAATATAAAAAAATGACAGTTAAACATAGATTTTTGTGTGTCACGTGGTATGTTGAGTGCAGCACTGGTTCAGATTAGATGTTTGTGATGTCAAAATACTAAGTCTGTAGTTTCTAACGAATTAGAAACTCAAATTACCGATATTGACAAGCTATAATATAAATAAGAGCCTCTTATCTTTTCAATTTGCTAAGATATTGCT